CTATAGAAAAAGTGGCAAGTGATTACCCACCAAAAATTACTGCAAGACTCTCTTTGGTTTGTCTTAAATGTGATTCACTCCCATAATGCAGGGCTATTTGATACCAGCACTCTTTCCACATTCACCATATCCATGGCTAATACAATGGAAAAATTGCAAGTTCTTCCTCTAAGCAGAATTGCCACTACAACACAGTAGTCTAGACATAAAGGAAGATTATAATTCCTTAGCCCTTGGTTCTGCAGGTTCTTACTTCTTTTCCTACACAATATTCTTCCTATCAAGAGTCCTCAGCTCCTTCTGTCTGTAGACTGTTTTCTAATCTGCGTCTTCCCCTTCTCTTCTCACCAACCCATGTTCCTCAATTCACTGCATAACCTCTTTCCTTATCTGAAATATCTGAACAGTGAGAATATCTGTAAACATTCAACAACATCACAGCCAGTTGAAGCTACAGTTGTCTTCATACCAAAATGCCTTAGCTCATTGTAATACCCCTATTCCACAAGCTCTTGCTTGGAGTTCTAGTAAAACGTGACTGCAAAGCATAGTTCCAGCTTATTGATGACTTGAGCACTTTGGGCTACAACCATATCTTATAAAATGGCTACCAGAAGATAACAGGTACCACTGATGTGCTGAATCCTGGTTTCTAGCTTCTCTTGAGTAGGTTAAATGGTCAATTCCAAGCAAAGTAGGAAAATCTGCCATTTCTGTACATAGCTGTATATAATGAAAACCTCAGGAAAGGGAAGCTACCTTGTATGCTCACACAATACTAACAGGACAGGAATTTATAACTGATAACATAGCTGAACCTTTGATTTATTTAACTGTCTAAAAGGTCCTTGTGACAGAGAGGAAGGACAATTCTTGCTGACACAGTCATTAAGGACTCCCTAGAGCTTTGTGGTTTTGGTTTTTGCTCTCCTTTTTGCAGCTTAACCATTAAGAAAACCCATTACATCCCAGAACAGGCACATGCACTTCGGACATATGCATTTCAAAAATTAAAACAGGTAACACACAGCAGAGCAGCAACATTGACAGTATTAAAAGAATAGCATCTGATGATTTGAAACAGAAGCTGCATTAGGTGAAACAAGATTAGATATGCATAAGTTAACAGTAATTGAACATACAAGTGTTTGTAAGGATAGTGCATATTTTAAGATATTTCAGAGGACCTGGAACATTGCAAGTTAGTAACAGTAATATAAAGATGTACAGATTTTTCAGTGATTTCACTTTTGGATCCAAGTATGCAGTAAAGATACACCAAAACAAGGAAATCTTCATTTGAACTCTATGGATTTTCTGACTGATTCCAATTCAATCATCAAGAGAGGGGCAAGCTGGGTGGAGAATGTTTAACTGGCTTGCACTTCTGAAATAGACTGTGATTCTTGCATTTTTCACCATTAATTATGTGCAAATATGCACCTAAAATGTGGATTTAGCATAATTTGCAGACAATTCCGTACAAATTGCACTACAGCAACATGGTTTTCAGGTGCTTATTTGTGCAAATTTCATTAGAGGTTTAAAAATATGCAAATTGTGATCCATGTAAGAGATGGTGAACTCAGTCTTACTCGTGCACTTGCTTGAATTGCAACACAGCAAAGAATGCCAGCACAGGGCTAGCAAGCTAAAATTTAGGGAACTGAATCATGAAAATCTAGCAGATATTTACCTCCCAGTGGATTCCTCATGAAAAGAGTAAAGCAAATCCCTACTCTAAGATTTGCCAGACATTTAAGGCTTCTCAAAGTCAACAGTCCTGTGGCACTTTCGAGACTAACACAGCTTCTGTGCTTCAAAAACTAAAACAGCTAATACACAGCAGAGCAGCAACATTAAAGTTATTAAATGAATGGCATCTGGTGATTTGGAAGACTACAATATAAAGACTTCTTCCAAATCAACAGAAAATTAATCGCCTGAAAAGGTGAAGCTGCACTTAAAAGTTCTTAGTACAAAACCAAGAAAACGGGTTAATTTCACATCTTGATATATTTCTAGCTGTACACCTATGGAGAGTAGGCATTTTATATTCTATGAAAACAGTACTGAACCTGTTCATGTCTCGGTCTGTCAAATGCACAGGGAAAAGTATAGATTTTTATTCCTTCTAATATTAAATCAGCATGTTGAACTAAATTACTGGCACTCTGGACAAACAAGATTTCCAGAAATTATAGACACTGTTGCAACTTTATCTTTTCCCCTGTTCCCTGTATAAAATATAAAATCTCCCAAAATATACTTAATGGAATTAGGGCACATTCCTATAGCTCCTGACATTCATGACATCGGTTTTGCAGATCTTTCTGTGGGTGGAAGAGGTCGTACTGTCAGAGAGGGCAAAACTGCATCTCCTGTTTACAGGAACATAAACAAAAGCTTCAACTGTTGGTCAGTGCAGAAATGGAGTTAACGATATAATAAATAATAAAGAGAAGGCATTCCAGGAGCCTGTTAGGCATGGGTTAGGAGAGACTTTGGATCCAATAGTTCCACTCCTATCCCATTCCCCAGCATGTTCCCAGAACAGAGCGTGAAATGATATCTACCCTGAGACTGGTATGCACAGTAAATTGGGACCAACTGAAATGCAATTCTAAAAGTGGGGCAGAGTAACCCCAACAAAAGGAGCAGGGAATGGACACCACATTCTTTTCACTCTGGTGGTGCACACTTGGCAGTGTTTTGGATTTGGTGGTTCCTCCATCACTAAGTCTCCTACCTCCACTGGCTTAGTTGGTCTGCCTCCCTTTCCAGGGTACAAGTTGTCATATGAGAAAGACCATACCAAAAGGATCCATGTTTTCTTAACAGCTTGCAATCTTTAAGGAACATCTGGAATACACTCATTCAAAATAAGTTATATGCTGTGATTTGGGAACCACCTTCCTCTTCACAGTTAAGTATAGTACTGTTCTAAATGTAAAGATGTTATTTGTCAACAGTAAACATCCAATGTGTGCACAAAAGTCACATACATGACCAGCTGCATGTTACAAGAGCTCTCTACTAACACTTAGATCCAAAATGACAGCACCTAGTCACACATGCCAACTTTGTGATCTAGCGTTGTCCTGTCAACTTCTACAATAGCAATAATGCTTCAGAGCATTAGTTACATCTGTACTGTGCAGACATTAATAATGGGAATGCAGAAAATACAAAAGGGTAAAGGTAATACAGTAATACTCAGCTGAGCAAAAAGACAGTAACCTTAAGCATTACCTGTAAATCAGCCAAAACATGCAAATAGCATGGACCATGGGAGCAGAAGCTTAATTTGATCCTAAGCAGAAGCAGTAGAAACTGAAAAGGGCAGGAAAGCAGAAAATTAGACAAGAAATCCGATCAGTGCTCTTGCTGCGCACAGGATGTTATGTGAGATGCTCCTCTTGAAATAGATGACTACTTCTCATTGATCCTATTAGGATGGCGAAGCAAATGCCCAGAACACCAAGATATTAATATGGAATAATCACAACATGAAAATATTGAGCTGATTGTTACATAGTGTATCATTAGTTATGAAAATAACTGAGGGAAAAGTGAAAATTATTTGCGAGTTAGTAATATACTATTTTTTCCAGAAGGATAGGATGTACAGGAAACTAGATTGCCACATCCACCTACAAAAAGTCTGGCATATTGCGAAGGACTCCTTACTAGTATTATGTCAGTCACTGAACTATTAATACACACCTTGTTGAAAGATGCAGTGGTGCCACATCTCAGGTTTGACCCCGGAAAGTACACGCTGTGTACTTTCTTTGACCCTGACAACTATCTGTTGAACGTGGATATCTGAACAAGAGGATCCTATGTGCACAGATCTCCCTCTTGAAGTCTAGACAAGTGGGGGTCTCTACATGCAGGCTTCCCTGCCGGGATACCTCACCCTGAACACCAGGGCATTGGGGTTAGTGAAGTGATGCAAAACTGGGCAAGCCCAGCAGCGCAATCAGACTGAGCCCTCTTCATGTTATTGATTCCTCAATCAGGCTTAAGAAGTGATCTATCATAAACCAACTTTCTGGGTTCCCAAGAACCCAAAAACACAACTGAGAGCACAAGCTTTCATCCTCAATGCTATTCTAGATTATGTGCTACAGGAAGTCCACCAGCCACAATGACTAGGTAGCATGCATGATAGGAAGGAACAGGACAGCAAATGTACGCCTCTTACCTTAGCTGAAAGTGTCTTATTACCTTTACATAATCACTTGGGGAAGGATCTGAGGGTGTCCATGTGCTAGCACTGCTGAAGTGACACTGGCAAAAACCAACAGCTGCACCACATCACAAATGACTGACATTGCACAAGCACTGGTTTCACTAGAACATCATCAGTGCTAACACAGAGACATCACTGTGTCCTTTGCACAATAAGTAGGTGTTCACAATTAGAGATTACCTGCAAAAATTTCTCTCCCTCTACAACAGCTATCTCAAAGCCTTGGTCTTTCCTTTCAATTCCAGTTAAATTCCATGTGGAATTTTCCGTATGTAATGATTGGCTATCAAGTATTCTCCAGTGGAACAGTCATAAACACTGTAGCAGATCAATTTCTTATAAACTGCCCAGAGCCTAGGAATGGGATGGTATATAAATATTAAGATAAATAAATAAAAGTAAATAAATGAAGTAGCAGGAAGCCCTTGCAATATCCCCTAATAAACCAAACACCTCATTTCTTGTGATGGTAGGTTGGCAAATTAAAACATATCAAATTCAATCTTTAAACTGAGTAAAATAAAGGAAGGCTCATATGTCAGAATAAAGCTTATTTTAACTCATCTACTAGAACTGAATTTCCCAGTTTAGGGATAGTGAGGTCATGCATTCGGTGAACATAGGTAACTATACTCATCATCATTCAATCACACTTTTATCTCTGGGCCTACTTTCACTCCCTGCTTCACGCTTACCATATTTTGTTAGTTACAAATCTCTCAGTAAGTTATGGTTTGCTTACTTCACCACAATATTTCCTAAAGTCTTCGCTTTTACAGGTTGCTTGTTGTCATCCAGAATCATCACTGCAATGAAAGGGCATAACAAGAGGTCACAAAAACAAGAGATTTTCCCCCCTTTCAATTCCAGCTACTCCTTTTCAAGGTAACTTCAAGCTTAATTGCCACGGCAAACTCAACTGAGGAAAGTAACTACAAACATTTGCAGTATCCCTGTTAGGTTTTCTTAGGACTACTGTTTGCAAACCAGACTGAAAAAAGTGAGTTTTAAGCTGAATATTTAGTCAGTGGCAAGGCAGACAAAACTGGAATATAAATTAATTTCTTTAAAAAATGTTTGGGAGGCAAAATAAAATAGGATCCTCTAAAGAGACATTTACAGAGTTGTACAAGATACAAAAAATAAGATGTGAGTGTATTTGTAACCATTGTCAGCTTTATTTCTTGCCATTCGCAAACAGCCTCCCCCTGCCCCGCCCCAAGACACGGGGATAGCTCAAACTTAACAGTTTCCGCATAATGAACCATAGGAAAACAAACAGTGGGTGTGTGTACTCCTCATTTGCCCCTTCCCTCTTATGATGCCTTTGGAGCTTTTCTAATGGTTAATTTAAACCACAGTTTTTCAGATTACATGCAACAGGAAATTCTGGGCTTGAACTACAATAGCACAGAACTCAGCATGAAACTGGAGGATGGGACGGAGAACACATAAGCCAGACACTCATTCTTGGCTTAACAGTCCATGCTTTATTAAGCACAGTTATGCCTTAACTGGCTCAGCCTCATAATTATCAGACTTACTTCTAAGATGCTACAACAAGCTAACTTACTAAGCTTTCATCCCCACCCCCACACATCTTTATTTTATAATGTCAGCCCCTTTTCCAACTAACTGAGCACATCTTGTGAAAGTGAAATGGCCAGAAAACTATCTTAATTACATTTCAAGAGCAGATCTAATCTCTGGATATTCTTGGTCAAACCATAGTTTTAAGTTATATAAATGTTACAACTTTCTTAATCTTACAGTTGCACATGTTCTGTTCTGCCTTCAGTTTTCTTGTGGTCCAGAGGCAGCTACTGCCTTTTATGCCTTATACTGGTTCAAAGCCTACATTTCCTACAGCTAAAATAAAAATGCTGAAAATTAAAGGTAATGTGCTTAGCATTCCTTTCCAGTATCAGCTTCTGCAAAGGACCACCTTCCTGGTGTCTGCTTCCTGATAAAAGTGGACACCAGGCAAGTTTAAATTTAACATGGCTATATACTTGCTGAACCCAGTAAATGGTTTGGGTTGTAAGTCCTATTTGTGGAACTCACTGACTTGGTATCTGGCAGCATCCTTACACATTATACGTATGCAAATTGTATCTAATATACAGAAAGTACTCTTTAAAAGATTATGAAATATGAAACTTTGAAAACCACCCAGTCAGCCTCTGGGCTATGGGGTGGTATTGAAATGAAATGAAATTAAATTAAATTAAATGCACAGATACAGTGTTTATATCATAGGCTTTACAGACTGCATGGAAGCCTTGATGAATACAAATGATTCTTGTTTCCACAACCACAAGGCATCCAGTTCAGTATAAGCCTGCACACATGTTCCCATTCTGTGCAGGAGTTGCCTGGACTTGGCCATAATCAACAAAATACATTGTAAACTTGAAGAGGTCTGGGCAAGACTGATGCAATACAAAATGGAAATAGTTAATATCTCTGAATGATCTAGATTTTTGTCTCTTCCCATTCTTCCAGCACTTTCAACCATAACCAACTCTCTTGGGGGTCTGTGACTATAGAACAGATGCCCTGCATGTGGTAACATGAGACAGAGTGATGGATATTAGCTTAGATGGCTTTAAAGGAGATGAGTTGAAATCATGAAGGACCAGTCATCTCCAGCAGCCATCACGGGAGGACGAGTTAAAGAGGCCAAGGAGAGCAGGGGCATTCCAGCAGTCCTGCTGAAGATCTCCCCCATGAAGACTCCTCCTATCTCAGTTATCACCACCAGGAGACATCCTAGGAGACTGACCTGAGAAAGATAGGAGCAGGGCCATTCCACCAGCTCTGCTGAACAAATTATTTTTTACCCTCTCTTGTGCGCCATGTCTTTTTGGATCGCAAGCCTGCAGGATGGGACTGTTTTGTTTCATTAATCATATGTAAGTCACCCAGGGAACCTGTTTGGCTGAGGAGCTTCCAAAAATACAATAAATACATAAACAGTACAAAAATATATGAGCTGGGATGCTCTAAGTGAGTTCCAAGCATAAACGGAAGTAATATCTATACACGCTACATTGAGCTGTGGCTGATAATGTTGAATGTAGGTTTTTTAGCTCTTGGAACCTAGTGGAGCATGATATAATTTATGAACTAGAAAAGAACAGAATAAGAACAAGAAAAATGAATTACAGGAGGACCAAGCTGGAGATGTTGATATGGAACACGAATCCTGAAGCAGCCAAGCAAACCAGATCAAGTCTAGGCTTGGTACTCAACTGTCAAATATAGCTGCATGTCAGCTTTAAATACAGCTGTCCTGTTTCACCTTGTGAACAGCGAGGTCTTAAAGAAGATAAGCCTGTATGGTAGCTTAATGGCACACATCCTGCAACTTTACCATTATATCCTGGCACCAATTTTCCTGTCTGTCCTGGAGGAGGTGTTAAAGAGTTCCCCAAGCCAACACAGGAAGCTGTTATTGGAGATCCTGTTTCTGAAATGCAAGAGAAAACACATTTTTATAAGATCTCTGCAACATTTTAGTATTAACTGGGAAACTAACTGACTTTGAGGACCATTATAAAAAAATGCCTTTGTATTCAATGCAGCAGAAACAAACTTTAGATACTTATAGCAAACAAAACTGGGCTAACTCAGTGGGGGATGGGAAATGCAGCTATTTTTGTCTGCAGAACTTGGATATCTTGTTATATGATATATAGAACTACAGGCAGCCTGGAGATGACAAGTCTGTTAAAAGGGATTCTCATTAAATTTCAGGTACAAACCAAAAGGATCTCAAGAAAACCCACCCAACCAGTCATGTAAAATTACAGTTCAGGCAGGCAGCAGTCCTGGAAAATATATGCATACTACTACCAATAGCACTTGCTTTTTAAAGACAAAGTCAGTGCAAAGTCGAGTACGCTAGTAATAATTTAAGAATTATTAGATTCTATGCATATCTGTGCAGAGGTAAGTCCTCCTAATTTGAATGGAACTTACTCCCAGGTGAATGAGGATAGGACTTCAGCCTTAACGATTGCTGTTATAATCCTTCTTTGAGTGGCACTGCAATAAGGTTTGTATGGAGGGGAAGACAGCACAGTGCAAGCATCGCACTTCAATCTCCAAAGCTAATAACTACAGCTTAATACGTATACGAAAGTAGGTGGTATGAGTAAACTAGAATTATTGTTCAAAGCAAACTGGATCATAGATTTCAAGTTTCAAAGTGCAAACTTATCACTGATTTAAATGTGGTCATGAGAACATGGTAGGTTGCAAAAGAGGTCAAACTCTTCATTAAGCTAAGGCTGAGAAACTAGTTATTTTGTGACTTTTAGCAGCAGTTCAGATCTTTATTAGGGATTTTTTCTATTTCAGATTTATCTTCACTGAAAATGATAGTCAAAAGCTGTTGGGAACAATACTGTGAAACTTAAAATGAGAGACATTATTTCCTCCTAGAAAATAGCTGTAAAACATTCAGGAAATTCAGAATGTTTCAGCCAACTGTAACCATTTCAAGGCAACCCTCCACCTATTAGGCTATGTCCAGTGCCCATTCTGGATGCATCTCAATTTACATGTTTCAACACAGCGCATGAAGACATAAAGAGCCTTGCACATGAATTCACAGCAAGCTGGAAATCGAAAACAAATCCTTCTTCCTTTAGGCAAGCAACACTTGAGGCTATCAAGAGACAGCTGAACTGTACAAAAAACTTCCCAAGGGATACTCCACTCAAACAAGGAGAAATAAGAGCTGCAGGAGCTGCTAGTTCCACATTTTTGAACAGCTTAAGTGGGAAAGGAAGTGCTAAGGGTTAGGCAGGATTGTAGGCACAATCAAACTAGAAGAATGAATAAATGAGATAAATGACAAAGAGAGAGAGGTAGGAGGGTCAAGTCAATGCAGGTTTGCTGGGGGTATACAACCAAAAGCACATTTACACTTTAGTCAGGCAGATAGGAAATACATGCAGCATGTAGGTAGCCCCTGAAGGGACTACAAGATGGAGTCTGTACAAGATGCTTTCATAATCTATCAGTTACATACACAGTAACTGAGGGTGAGTAGAGGAACAGGAGATGAAGACAAAAGAGTTGAACAGATTAAGACAAACAACGCAAACAGAAGAACTTTCAGGACAGTAAACATGCACCTTTCTAAAGTGTATCAAAGGAAAGAAGCTTCAGGTGGGCACATGTTAGCATGTCTAAGGTATACCTGGGAGCAAGACTTGCAATATGATTTTCTGATCAGATCAGGAATGCAAGTCTAAAGCTGCTCATACAGTGCAGGCTTTCAGAAGCCATATTATGGTGGAGTTTTCGTTCATTTTGTCCTGACAGTAGCAAGGGGAAAGTGGTGAGACTAGAAGAATCTGGACAGAGTTTTGGAAAAAGCATGAAGTTTCAGAAAAAGAAGGGATATGGAGCTTTAATAGCAGAACTAAGCAACAGGAAGAAGGATCACAGAACAAGCAACAACCACCAATTTGTAAACTAAGCTTCCATGAAATGAATGGGTCCAAGCAAAAGCTAAGACATTTATTTTAATGAGATTTTAGTGAACTGTAAGAATTAAGACAAATATAAGGCAGCAAAGCATATAATTCTGATAGCACAGCATGAGACCATATGTATTTTTATTTTACAAAGTGACATTAGGTGACTGAAAAAATTAACAGCCTGTAGTCAGCTTACCCTTCTGCTTTACCGAGCAGCTTGAAATAAGACACAGTTCATGTCTTGGTTCTTTTCCAAAGATGTGTTACAGCTCAGTTTGACCTAAATATTCATTGGATGCTTATCTTTCAAATCCTCTAATGTGAAAGCCCCCCCCCTTTTTTTAAGATCCTGAGGTCCCCTGATCCTGAGTGTCTATTGGAGCCCCTGTACCTCATTGGTGCCCACCCTGCTTTGTGTGATTTTTCAAAAAGGAATTACTTTTCTATTTTTAGCAGAGGCAGTGGCTGGTCAGGATCAAAAGGGAAGTGAAGACTTCTACCCCTCCCTGCTCCCAGCATCCTCATCCTTTCCTTTTCTACAATGGTCCATGGCCTTTGCTTCTCAACCACCAGGATGCTTAAACTGATTATAGAGAAAAGGGGCCATGCGGGGCAGAAGGGAGTAGCTTGAGGGATGTGGGTCTCTTATTGGTTCAGATGAATGATGACTGGGTTTTTTGCATGTGGGGAGGGTGCTGCCTGGGTCGTGGGAGGCAACATACATGTGTGTGGAGCCTGGGCTTTCTTTGTGGGTTGTGGGGAATTGCCTGTGCGAGGCTGTGTATGTATGTGCTTTGACTGCAATGTTGTGTGTGTTGAGCCATGTGCATTACAGGAAAAGGAGGATTTTTCGCAAGGGGTTGTTGCTTGGCTTTGTCAGTGGAGGCGGCGGGGGGGGGGGGGGGGAGTTGCCTGAGGTTATTCAGGTGGAAGGAATAGGCCAGCTGCCTTCCTGTGCTCAAGAGGAAAAAATAAATCCAACCTTGATAAAAATCTGCCAAGAATACCCTGGTTAGCCTTGCTAGCAGAATGCCTTGCAGACCCCCAGCCAATTTTGTTGCACAAACAAGCTGATAGAAAGGGGGAAAACTAACAACAAGGAAGATGTGCATGTCTTCAGCAAGTGCAAAGCAATCATTCTGTCAGCAGATACAATCTATATCATAGAATTCCATAAATTCAAGGCTACAGGCTTGAGAAATCTAACAAAATTTGTCACAGACCAACGATCATGGGAAAAAATTAGTGAAGACTCCTGAGATGAAACGCACCAAATGGCACTAATTCATTTTGCTGAGCTATGCATTTACTAAGACCCTATACATATCAAAAGTGTTTCTATAGTTTCATTTCTTTTCATAGAATCTAAGTCATTCTATAACAAGTAAAGGGATCCAAATACAGCTACTGTAGAATACTCTTCTTTTTTAACTACCAGTGCAAATTTTTCTATTTTTAGTATTCGTCATGCCTGAGGGTTCCAACTTCACTCACTGATCCACAGCTATGGCTTCAGTGAAAATCAGTGGAAGATTAGCACATACAGGATATAATTCTCCTCTTAGGCTACCGAAGAGCAGATATTTCATAGTAAGTGCTAATTTTAGTAGGGTCATTGTTCATCATACAATTTTCTACAAATTGCTGCACTGGGTCATAAATCAGGGTGAAGAATCTCTTGCCCATGAATACACACAGCCTTTAGATTCAGCCTGCAGCATCCTCCCTCATCCCTGCCACTTCCCACATTGCAATCTGTTCCAGAATTAGTCTTTTACTAAGGCAGGAAGGGGATAAGTGAAAGAGAGGAAGGGATAAGGAAGCCAAGATAAAGTGGGTGAAGTTGCTTTTGACCTACTCATTTTGATTCAGGCTTCCCTCACCATTGGCATGCTTTCACCCACAGGTAGTTCTGCATCAGGAATGCAGCCCTCAGACTAAAAAAAGATTCCACACACCAGCACACACACTGTGGTTAAAAAAAGCTGGCCCACAGTCAGTTCTGGCCACGTGGCACCATGAATCGCATCCTGGCAGAAAAGAAAGCAGGGCACAAGTGGCCTTTGGGCCACCACCCTTGCTGTCAAAGTGAGCCAGCTTTTTCTGAAATGGCTGCAACTACTGCACTTCAGGAAAAAAAACCTTGCATAGGTGGGACGCCAAAAGAAACTGCTGAGAAAAGGGCAACATATGGAGGAGAAGAAAGAAATGATGGGGCAAATTAGCTCCAGATCAGGCTGCTCTCTGGAGCTATCCAGACGCAAGAAAGGTTGCTCATAGCCTCAGCCAAAGGAACTGAGGTCTAAGGTCAGTCTCCTTTGTATATGCTTTATCTTGGCATATTCCCTATGGAGCTGAGTAACAACAATCAGCCCCCCAGGATTATTGTCCCTCTTTCTCTCCCTCTTTCTTTAAACCCCTGCAGAACAGCTATTCTGCCAAACTGCAGATAAACCACCCCATTTACACACACCTCTGTGGCACAAATAAAAGGATCTTGGTTGTCTTCAGGGCATCTCTCCAGGTCATACCCCAAAGTCCTTCATACATGCCCAATAACATAGCATTGCAGTTTATGCAGTGGTGCTGTCCCCTGCAGCAGCTACAGCACTGTGAGTGTTGAGTGTACAATTGAAAACTGTACTGTCCATATGTTATGTGAAGTAAAATATTGTGTTAACTGTTAAAGAGAGTGAAGCCTCACACCCACTACAAAAAGAAAAACAGACTCCAAGAAATTGTGGGTTAAGGAAGCAAGTTAGCCACAATTATGATTCAGGGAGAATTAAGTTCATACTAACCTCTCTCTGGCTATTTGAAATAAAAAGGGATTCAAAAGAGCTGGCTGGACACTTGCTTACCTTAGGAAAGCTTTGGTGAACAAAAGTATCAGTCTAAGCATTCTTGCACTGAAAGGCTTAAAAAGAGTAAGAGGGGTGCAGTAAATCACCGTGCAGTGACATTTATTCTCCTAAAG